ATATTTTCTTTCTTCTGCAATTGTCACTGTTATGTATATAGTAATTATAAATATTACATTACACAATTAGAAGAAAACAAATATATTAAATCACAAAGAGAATTTATTTTCATTATTTATATCATATATTTTTCTTAATATTAATACTAAAAATGTGCTCAACATACATTAATTCCTTATTTTTTTTTCCAAGGCAGTGTTGTAATTATTGGAACACATTTTGTGACCATTCTTATCATTCATTATTTAAAAACATATATATATGTATCCTTTAATTAGTCTTGCAATATCTATTTTATATATAAACAAAAAGTAAAGTTTATTAGTAAGAATATAATTACAATGTTTAAAAAATTATATAATCAACTACTTATTATTAGTTAATATTTTATTAAAAATGTATAACTTCCAACTGCTAATTATTTATTGTTTCTTTATGAAACCATATCTAAAATTTTACAAGGAATAAAATAAAATCCCAAAGAATGTGTGAATTACATGTGGGTGTACTAGTGACAAGTAAAAAGTTATTTCGATTTTAATATATAGTAAAAGTTGACGTGTTTCACAAAAATTTTACATAGCTATGACAGTAGACATGTCGATCGCGTGAAATCTTGTCTGACTGATACCAAATTTGAAATATTCTGTTGTAAAAGAAGACTAAAGACTTGAAACAGTAATAACGAATCATGAATATTCTAAACACATTGTTGTTCGAATTTAGTAAACTGAATTGTTGATAATCGTTTTTTCTTTTTGCTACGCTGGCTTGAAATGATTTTGAATTTGAACAAAGATATTTTCATTTTCCGAAAATGATAAATGGTAGCGGATTCTCATTGCTATCTATTTAACAACCGAAAAATTATCAATTTTTGTTCAAAACGTTAGGGTCGAGGAGATACTTGACCGAGAGGAAATCGTGTTTCGCTTTAGATATTTTATTTTGCTGTTATTATTGTTATCGGTCAATTCAATGATTAGGGATGGTATATAACATGTTATAAATAATTTGAGGGGTATATACCATATTTATACCCGGTATATACCATGGTATATACCACAATTGATTTCTTGTGTAATTTTTTAGTAGGGTATATACCATTGATTGGTATATACCACTAACATGTAATATGTAATAAGACAACAATTTTGGTTTGAATATTTATTTATAAGAAATACTAATTGCAATAAACTTATGTTATATATCTTCATAGATTCT